CCCCAAAACCCCAAAACCCCAAAACCCCTAACTGGGAATTTAGAGTTGAAGATTATACAGAAAGGGGACTGGGCGCATTGGCTAGGGGGTGGGGCTGAGTTTAGTGGGATTTTGGGGAAGGGGTATTTTTGGGGATTGGAGGGGGAAATTGGGGCTTGAGAGGGGGGTGTGGGGGTTAAGGGATTAGAGGTGGTAGGTGAGCTTGGATTTGGGTAATTTTGGAGGGTTATATGGAAGGTCTTGGTGTTGGGGTAGAAGTTGGGTATGATGAAATAGATTCATTACTGTTTGATGGATGGTTTATGAGGTTTCAGAAAAGTGAGTGCTTTTGAATCTAGCTGGAGGTATTATGATATCTAAATTAGCACTGCCTTGTTAAACCTTTGGATGTCTAAAAAACAATGATGATGTACTAAAAGAACTCTTTTTACAGTAATAAAAGTAACTTGAGTTCTCTCTTCATTCTTATTTTAGCCTAGCCCTAGCAGTTGATGTTAAAAATTTAGTCTTTAAAGGGATGATTCTTAGACTCTAGTTCAGAGATTAAGATAGGTAATCAAATTTTATTCCCAAAATTCAGGTTCTAGTATCTCTTCACTGTCCTTCATATTATATAAAATGATCATTCATACTTCAAACTGTTCATCCAAGATGCTCCCATTTAGTATCAGAAAATTGTAATAAATGAAGAGTTTACTCCATTCTGAAACAATGGTGGATTAGAAAATCGATCATAAAAGCCCAGAACTACCCAGAATCAACAAGTTATGGGAAATTTTAGAGAATTAATTAATGCCTATCTGAATCTCCCAATGTGTACGACTTAGTGGAGTCTTCTCTGATGAGCCTATAAAAATTAGTCTAGCCTTAAGTTAAGATACCGTGACTGTGTATTTCTCAGTGAACTTCTTGTCGCAATGATTTCACTCATAAACTCTCCTAGCCTCTAAGTCTGGCTGAGAGTGCTTCAACAAGTGCTTCTTCAAGTTTACCTTTTGGGTGTACTGTTTAGAGCAAAGATGGCACTGATATGGTCTGAACTTGAAATGAAGTCTTATATGTCTGGTTCGAGCTCTAGCAGTCCTAAAGAGCTTCTTACAGCCAGCATAAGTACAGTCGTACTTATTTCTCGTCCCATAAGGAGCACTTGAGTGTGGGGAATTTCTTCTCTGAATATTCGAGTCTATAAATAAGCTGGAAGCTTCTTACGGTTCCTTCCGGATTCTGTTAAATTTTCACCCATGGCTGAGGTGCTGTTAATTTTTCCATGAAGTTCCTATCGAAATATTAGGATGAAGATTATGAAATCTTACCATATGCTTAGAAGAGTCCTGGCTAACTTTGGTCTCTTTATTATAACACTCCGGAATGGAAGAGAGCCTTTTATGTTGAAAAGGTAGTAAAATAGATCGAGACTTGGCCAATAAGAAGTCAAGACCATTAACCTCAGACTCTCACATGCAATAATTATTCATAAGACTTTCTAATGTTATGGAGCTTTCCAACACCTCTTTCTGAAGTACTAAGTCGTGTTCCTGAACTCTTTTCGACTCTATAATAATTGTATAATTGACAATATAGGAAACTAATTCGTGAATTTTCAATAATCCTTATTTGGGTAGAAATTTATAAATTCATTGAGATGATAAAGTTTCTAATAGTACTTTCATCACTAAATATCCTTTCAAAGTTCAAATACCCTAAAAATTGCAGGAATTATGGAAAAAGTAATGTCCAGCAGAAATAGAAAATTATAAATCTGCAAGACTCTCTTCTTGCTAATTTGTCGCCACTTAGGACTTTGAGAAATAAGCTCGAAAAAATCGTTCAGAAATGGTATCAACAAAGAGAAGCCTCTGCCTCTAGTGGTACTCGACGAAGTATTTTTGTACCTAGCGTAGCATTGATGTATTTGAACAGTCTGCTCTTGTTGCAATTTGCAGTCTTGATGGTCCTTCTCTTAAATATCATTAATAATTATTAAGCTCAATGCATCATATCTTATATGGGGTTTTGGGGTTTTGGGGTTTTGGGG